GTCACACCTCCCAGGATCACAGACCTTCCCCTCCGTAGGTCATAGGAAGCCTGGGCAGGGGGTGGATGCAGAGGTACCATGGCTCTCACTTGACAAAAAGGGAGAGAAAGGAGCAGAGGGGAGTGATCAGCTCAGAGTACCCCCTACTGAACCAAGGACTCTACCCTCTCACATCTCATAGCCCCACCTGGTGGGGTCTGAGGATGAGATATTTTTGTTCCCAGGAGCTGATGTGGCCTATGAGTGGTCACTCAATTCACACAGGCAGCCAAGGAACCTGAGCCACCAGCAGGGCCTGGCTTACCCTGGACCCATTATAGTGCTTGCCCAGGCCCAGGAGCCACTGGCTAGCCCCACCCAGGGCAACAGGGGAGGGGCAGAAGCTTGTCCTAGAGTGCCCTGGGCCCAGAGATTCCCCACTCCAGTGGGCATGGCTGGCACCAGGTTTTGGGGCCTATTAGCAAGGGGAAGGAGCAGAAGTATCCTCATAGGGTCCATGAGGAGAGCTGTGTCCATGCAGGGGAGAGCCAGAGGTCCAAGCGCAACCACGGAGCCCACAGGCTGCCCTCAAGGCCCTCACCCTTCCCAACAGCCAACATTCTGGGAGGAAATAATTAGGGCACAGGTGAGTCATATGGTCACAAGGCTGTTTCCTGGCTGACTCAGGGGGACAGTCCAGACGGGCCCTTCCACCACCCTCCAGCTCAGAGGCTGAGTCAGGGATTCCAGGGTTCCTGGCCAGGAAGTCCAGGAGAAAGCCCCCAGCCCACTGGTGAACCACCTGCCCTCACCATGCTCTCCCCAACCCCAGGCTGGGGAATGGGAGGCGGGTCTCCCAGCTTCACTGGGCTGGGCTGGGCTGGGCTGGGGCAGGAGGCCAGTCGCTGCAGTTTCCCTACCTCCACCCTAAGCACGTGCCATCCATCCCACAAACAGCTGTTGTTATCAATCATAGTGGTTACTAAGAGTGGCCGCCATGTCCTGATATTGAGGTATGCTCTACAATAGGCCTTGGGCTAGACACAGCGGGGCCCATGGAGAAGCCCAAACAGGTGTCTATAAACAGCAGTTGTATTGAGGAGAGCTGGGGGCAGTGTGAGCTCTCTCTCTCCCACATATATTAGAACCTCAGAGCCTGGACCCACACAAAAGGGAAAGAACTTGTGTCCCACCTAGAGCTAATAGGACCTTCTGACAAACAGCACCTCCTGGTGTCCAAACGGGGCCTGGCCCTCCCTCCCATCAGATCCCCCATATGAAGGTGTGGCCTTCTATGGCCGGTAAGAGCACAGAATCATGAGCCCCCAACTCAAGCCCACCCTGGCCTCTAGGATTAGGTGGAGTCAGGCCTTCTAGATGTCTGGACCTCCCTCTGCCTAGGATCTCCAGAGGCACCCAGCACTGAGCATAGCAGAGTGGGCTGTTATCAGGGGCAGCAAGATGGGGCCCTCCTGCATCAACTCCAGGGACCCCTCAACTGCTCCCAGCCCAGCCCCTGAAGCAGGTCCCCCTAGGCTCAGGGCTGCTTTCCTGGCTTTGTCCCTGTGCTGGCTGGGCAGGAACTTCCTGCTGGAGAATTCCCGGATCCTCCCTGTGAGGCCGCGAGCCTGGCCTGGGAACTTAGGTGGGAGGGACGTCTTGTGGCAGCAGAGGCTCCCTGAGTCTGTAGGGCACAGGTCCTTCCCACCCCCAGATCAGGGGCACCAAACCTCCTGTCTTCTGCTGGATCCCTGGGTTCTGCAGACCCTCGGGCATAAACTGTGGACTAGTCTGGGACCCCAGAGAAACTGAGCTAGTTCCGGGTTGAGGGTGAGGGACGGAGCTCACAGACAGCCAGGGAGGCCAGAGTCAAACTAGGCTTTATTAATACATTACAGGCCTGAGTCTGATGGGCAGGGACAGTCTGCTGGGCAGGCCCACCCTGCAGACTCAAGGACACCATTTATCCCAAGGCCCCCTGGCCCCAGGCACTCCTTGGATGTTTCCTAACAGGAGCCACATTCCTGTGTAGCTTCCAGGGATAAGGGGCGAGGCAGGGGCAGGGAAGACTCAGGCCAGCACTAGCTTTACTCTGAAGGCTGGTTTCTCATCTCATCCATCTCCTCAAGGAGCAGGTGCTAGGGGGAAGAAGTGGGTGAAAGAAGATGCCTCGGCACCTTTGGGCTCTCCCCTCCTGGCTCGGCACCCCTTAAACCTCCCCAACTATTCCCCAGAGAAAGGCATCCTGAGGCCACCTTTTCCAGACCCTCCCCCATGTCCCCACAGCTAGTCCAGGTCCACCAACCCTGAGCCACCTCCTCCTCATAAAATGGAGGGAACTTTCTCTCTCCAACCTGGAGGGTTCCTTTGAGCCCCAGGAGTCAAGCACCCCAGCCAACCCCTCCCTTTCCTCACCTGTGTCCTGGACACCACACCAAGGGGGCTCTGCACCCTTCCTTCTAGCCTAGGATGCTGCTTCAGCTGCCTCAGCACCCCTCCCCCAGGTCCCCAGCATTCCCCAAAGACTGGGGGCGGCTCCCTTCCCCCTCAGTTTGGTGTCCCTAAGGGCAGATAAGGAGAGAGTGAGGGGTGGTGATGAGGACAGGACCCCTGAAACACCCATAGGAGAAAGATATTCCTGAAGAAGTTGTGTCCCCGGAGTGAGAACTGAGCTGGGCCCCCACTTGCCACCACCCAGAGACTCCCTAAGGCCTCTCCAGTGCTGCTCAGGCTACCCCAGGACTGTGACCCCTGGGACAGGGGCAGGGCCACTCAGGGGTTGGTTCTGAAGGGGTATGGGGAAGATAGAAGGAGGGAAGGTTGAATAACAGATCTATTTAAGGTGAAAAGGCAAAAGCAAGTGTCCCTGCCGGAGCTGACGATCTGTGTGGTTTAGGATGAGGTGGCGCAGACTTATTCTCCAGAGCACAGAGGGGCATCCTGTGATGTGGGCTTTGGGCTTAGGACAATGAGAAGGCCCCCTCTCAGTGCCTGGCAGACCTGGAGTCCTGGTATTCACTATCCTCAAGGGGTGAGTCATAGCCCTAACACTGGAGTACCTCTCAGTGCCTGGCAGACCTGGAGTCCTCAAGGGGTGAGTCATAGCCCTAACACTGGAGTACCCTGTGCAGGTGACAGTCATACACTCTTCATCTCATCTGATCCTTCCAACAGTCCCCCTCACAAGCAAAGGGACCAAGGTCTACATTCGAAGTCACAGAACAAGTTGATGCCAGAGCAGAGACTTGGACTAAAGACTCGGGCCTCTGAACTATGCTCTTTCTTATTGTAAGCCACACAAATCATCTGAATGAAATGTCCTCTGAATGAAAGAATGAGCTGATGAATGAATAAAGATTAACTCAGAAAGGATACCAATACATTTTTCAACAACAGCTCCATCAACGTTTACTCAGAGAAGTTGGGACAGGCCTAATGTTTAAGGCTGATGCCCAGGAGGGTCGACAGTGGGTGGTCCTCGGTGTAACCTAGCAGGGTGACTCTCCACACCTACGTGTGTTTGTGGGAGTAGGAATGGGTGTGAATGGGAGAGGAAAAAGAAAAAGAGCAACATTATGTGAGTTACAGGTGTCCTGGAAAGCCTTAAAGCCGCCCAGACAAATCTTATTGTACAGATGAGGAAACTAAGGCCCAGAGAGGGAAGGGAATTGCCCAATGCCACACAGCAAGGGATGGGCAAAGTCGAGCCTTAAAAATGGACATTTGGACTCTGGGTCAAGTGAGACTGATGGAGAATTGCATGTATGCAGGGAGTCAGGGTCCTATTCTCAGAAATACTGCCACCAAGAAGGTATTATACGTTCCCTACCTAGTCAGTGGAGGGGCATGGCTGGAGCCAGGGCCAGGGACCATAGAGATGAGAGGCCTCCATCCGCACTTTTGCCAATGTCTTCGAGCAGGATGATGACATACTTGGGCATTCACAAAGCCTGCCTCCTCCAGGGTGATCTCTGGCGAGGCCAGTAGCTCTTGGTGCTCATGGATGCCCATCTTCCAGAGGCGAGACTCACGCTGTACTACCAGAAGCTTCTTTCCACGAAACCTGAGAGCCAGAGAGATGGGCGAAAAGCAGGCAGGAATAGGGTGGAGCAACCTGCTGGAGATCAAAGGAAGAAGAGGCCACCCCAGCTTTTCAAACCTCGGCCAGGTCCTGTATGGTCACCCCAGCCATAGCGCTTTCTTCACCCATTACCTGGATCCAGCCAGACACGTCAAAGGAAGAAGAGGCCACCCCAGCTTTTTAAACCTCGGCCAGGTCCTGTATGGTCACCCAGCCATAGTGCTTTCTTCACCCATTACCTGGATCCAGCCAGACACCACCTCCCCACCACCCTGCTTTCTCCAAGAAACACTTTCTATATAGGCTCCTTCCTGCAAGCATGAGTGTGAGTCTCATCACCTCCTAGGGAGGGCATGCAAAGGGCAGATGTCTGTTTCCCCTACTCTGGCCATCAACTCAAGAGCATAGATCTGGAACCATCCAAAGGGCCTGGGTTCAAGTCAGAGCTCTTCCACTTACTAGTTGTGTGACCTTGGACAGTTACTTAACCTCTCTGTGCCTAGTTTCCTTACTGTGAATTGGAGACTATAACAAGACCTACTTCAGAGTTGTAATGCATTATTTTTGCGAAAAGTGCTTAGAAGAGGATCTGGCTCATAGAAATGACTGTGTAACTGTCAACAATGATTCTATTATATAATCACCACTGCCCCCTTCCTCATCTGCCCTCAGGAACACCCTCTAGGGCACTGTCACAGCAGTGCACACGTGATGGCAAAACCAGGGATGCAGGTGACCACCGAAAGAGAATGCTGGGGTGAGAAAGGGTGATGCTCGAGGAGCCACAGCCTGTCACAGCCCCCACCTTGCTGCCTCCCAAACCCTGAGGGTGGAGGACCCTAGCTAGAGTGAGCGTGGCCTCCAGCCCAGCCACCTGCTGGCCCCCATCTTAGGTGGTCATCTTAGGTCTTCTGATACCACCTGGTGGTAAGAGGTGGTATCGCACCCATGAGCCACTAGACAAGGGGGACTCCTTGAACCTCTGGGCAGGCTGGGAGGAGAGGTGGAGGCACTGCACTTACCCACTGTATCTGTTGACCTAAAAGTCTTACGTAGCGGTGACTGGAGGGTGACGATGCCTGGGACACATAGCTTAAATGAGTTGCCCTCTTCCTCCATTTCCTCTTCCTTACCTCATGGGGAAACCCTTGAGAAGAAACTAAGTATGTGCCAGGTCACTGAGAAGGTGAAGAAGGCCTCAAACCTGCAGCCCTGTCCCCGCATAAAACAGAAAACAGGAGGGAACAGCAACCAAGAGGTTAAGAAAGGGTGCTGCTACCCCTTGGCCCAAGCCATATATCTTGGGGCCCAAGCAGATATGGGGAGGGAGCCCACACAGGCCTCCCCCACTACTACCCCAGCTTGGCTCCACAGACCTTGGCCATGGCAGATTTCTGAAGCTGCTTGTACAAGGTGAGGAGGTGGTTCCAGAGAGTTGTCTCCACTTTTGAAGAGGCCAGCCTGAGGTCACCTGTGAAGGGGCAGTGTCACTGACAGTATGAGCAATAGGGGGTGGCTGAGCAATAGGCCCAGCAGGGCAGGGACATCTGGAGGGTTGAGCTGAGGGTGACTTTTCCTGGTGTTCATTAGCAAACACCTACTATGTGCCACATACGGTTCTAAGCACTTTACAAAGGCCATCTCATTTAATCCTTATAACTACCTTCTGAGATAAGTACTATTGCATTCTCATTTTATAGATGAAGAAACTGAGACACAGAAAAGTTGAGCAATTTGCTACCATCACACAGCTTGGCACAGTGGAGCTGGGATTCGAACCTGGGCAGTTTGCCACCAGCATGCCCTTAGACTGTGTTTCTTCCAGGCCCTACACCCCTGCAGAGTCCTAGAAGAAGAGGGTCTGTTTCTGGCCCGCCCCTCCCCGCCCCACACACGTACACCTGTGGCCACTACCATTGAGCAGATGCTCCTTCTCCCTGGTGAAGGCCTCAGAGCTGATCTCCAGTGATCCCATGGTCCTCTGCAGGCATCCTTGCTCCACCTCCAGAGCTTCGGCAAAGTGGCCCCTGATCCCAAAGCACAGTCAGATGGAGATGGCAGGTGGGACCCAGAGATGTAACAAAGACCCTCCACCCCCTACCCAACCCCTAAGGCTCTCCCACAGGCCTTGCTCAGCCCCTCTATCCTCCTGCTCCCAACAGCTACCTTCTGGGCCCTCTGGGGGCTTCATTATAGAGATAGAGTGTGGGGAGCAGAAAAGTGGGCCCCGTTCCTCCCCAGGGGTGGGTGCCAAGTCCAAATGGGAGCGAGACAGGAGGGAGAGAGTGGGGAGGGAAGGCAGGGTGGAGTAGGGTTGAGAAAGGAGCTGGAAAACAATGGGAGCCCAGCTCAGCCTGGCATACTTCCTTCCCAGTCGCTAGCCCATCTCTCTTTCCTTTTGGTGCCTCCATCCATAATCTCTCACTTGTGGAATGACCCTCATCTCTGCCTCCTTCCCTGACAAACACACAGCCCCATCTCCAGGCTCCTCCTCACCTTTGATGGGTCAGTCTTTCCCCACCCAGGTGCCCTGGTCCAGTCCTCTACCCATCCAAGAGCCCACATTCCTGGCACTTCCCCAGTTTGGGCCCTCCCATCTCAGGCCCATATCCTTCCCCCATCTGACATCCAGGCTTCATCCCAATACTTCCATCCCAGGCCCCTTCCCATCATCCATAGTTTCTCACTTGTCTGAGGTCCCTGTGTCCCCAGAGAGCTCCCCTGCTGCCGCCGCCTCCTCTTCTCCCTTTTTGTCCTTCTCAGACGTGTTGCCCAGCACCTCCTGGCTTCCTCTGGGCAGGACTGACTTCACCTTTACACCCTGGGCCACGACCCTCAGGACTTCTTTGGGGTTGGGGGTCTGGCCCCGTGTTCCCCATTCCCAACCCTGAGGAATCGTGCTGTGGCAGGGCTATGGTGGGCTATAGGGTGCTATGGTGGGCGGCCTGGGCTCCTTCCTCCCCACTCCCTCCTGGCGGTCCATCATCAAGGGGATGGTATCCTGCTCTTGCAAGAGGCATGCTCCCTCTCTCAACAGGGCCTTGTCAGAGCTCTTTGAGCTGCTCTTGCTCCCCGCAAGGCTACGAAAAAAGTGGAAAATGGAGGAGCAGCCCAAAATTTAGGATAAAGGGGTTGGAGCTGGGCTCTCCATACTGCGAGGGACCCTCATTCAGAGGGAGGGGCCGTAGCGGCCACCCCAGAGCTAACTGCTTAAGAACAGGAGTAGTTTTCAAATTAAAACCTCCAATTGGAAATTTCTAGGAGTTCTAGAAAGTAAAGATCAAGCAGGTGAAGTGGGGATGGGGGAAAGACATGGTGGGGGGTTTACTTGGAGACAGAGAGGGCAGGGGATTGATGAGGCAGGGGAAGGAGGGATGGGGAGCCAGTTTAGGGGATGGTTAGTGAGGCTCCAGGAAGCATGAGGTTAGGGGGCGGGCAGAGGAGGCTGGGAGCACCCAGACCCTGAGGACTCAGCACACCCTCTCTTCACAGGGCTTGTCCTTGCCTGGCTGTGGCTGTTTCTGTCTTTGAGGACCATTGACGATGGTCAGATAGTATCTGTCCTCCCTTTTCTCTCCCCACTTGCCATTCAGCTTGCATGTGCCCAGATGGGAGTGCAGACCGACTGTTTTCATCTGTTTACCTGCCTAACGCCTTCAGAATTTCTATCTCCAGAGACTACCGAGGTGCCTGATACACGTCTTATTTGTACGTTGAATCTTAATTTAGTATTGTTATTCCTCACTGTACCTATAGACTTGGTTATAAACCCAGCTCAGTGACCTTGAGAGAGTTCCTTAAATAAGCCAAACCTCTGTTCATCTGTAAAATGGGTGTAGTTGATGGCACCTACTTCCAAGGGTTGATGAGAAGATTCTATGAGACAATGGTTGCTAAAGTACATGGCACACAGTGGTGCTTAAGAAACATCACCACCCTGGTCTTTTTATTGGTACTAATTGATGGGACGGGGAAGAGATCAAGGATCAGGAGTGGGAAAAGCAGTGGGGGAGGAGCCTCTCCGTCAGGCTGGGGATGTGGGTGGGGGCTCCAGCCCAGACTGTGAGATGGTACATCCGCATCCGGCGGCAACAGAGTAACTTCCTCTAGAGGGAGCTGATTGGAGCCAGTAACAGCCGGCACTTCTATGATCGCCGAATCCTCTCGGTTCCTTAGGGCCACGCTGGGACGAGCAGAGGCTGCATCCAGACTCCAGGAATTCACTGACTCCCGTTCCTGGTAGCCAGGCCTGGACACCTACTCCTGGGAGCAGACGCTGGTCCCTCGGCATTTCCAGCCTCTGCCCCACTGAGTCATCCCGGGCCTGGGCCAGGGTCCAAGCAGGTAAGCCGGGAGGGTCCAGCCTATTCTCCCCGCTCTGGGCAACACAAGGCCTAGGGTGGGGCAGGGAGCCCACTGGGGGCTGGGTGGGGAGGGGAAGGCTTACCAACCTCTGCTAGGAGCCTAATCCAGCCAGGCTGCCTCTTGGCTGCCCCTCAGACAGCTTCCCCTCACGCTCTGGCCCTGGGTGCCTGAGAATTGGGTGCCAAAGAATCAGGGCCTCTATCAGTCTGGGGGATGGGAGTGGAGGTCAGAGCCAAGGTCAAGGGCAGGGGGAGAACTCACGGTGCTTCCTGCTGCCCCAGGAACCCTAGACTGAGTTTTCAGCTCAACAAGGCATTTCCGCTGGGGAACATCCAGGGCCTAGCAAGCCCAGTTGCTTGGGTGCGGGAGATTCCCCTTACCAGACGGCAGGCCACTTAGATGGGGGCGGGGGTAGGCCCAGGTCAGCATAGGCTTCTGGTCCTGGGGCGGTTCTGAGGCTCCATCAGGTCCCTGGCAGTGAGCCCTGGAGTGGTGAGAAAGGGAGGTGCAGATGCAGTCGTCATCCTCTGGCCCGTTTCCTGGGGTGCTGAGGGCAATGCTGTGGCCACCCCTCCTAGGGCCCTGGATGCCGGGGTGCAGTCCCTGGGTGTGAATCTTGGCCTTCTTTTGGGGACAAAAGAAGAAGCAAGGGCCTCTTGCTCCGGAAGAAGATACCGGGATGGGGGGTGTGCCAGGCAAAGGTCTGTTTTGAAGAGCTCCCAGAGGTGGAGGAGGGAGGGTCTGTCTTGTCCCTGGCCCTGCCTGGAGAGCGCAGGGGTGGAGAGCTGAGTACACTGTTGGTCCAGCCTTCTCCACCCCTTCTCCGGAGAGCCCTTGGGACACTTTTGAAAATGGCCCCAGGCCTGAGAGGGAGGGGATGAGGGAGGCTACCCAGGCCTTCCCAGGGAGGAGGAGCCACTCTGCCTGGCCCAGGGTGGGCTGTACCCTCCCTAGGGATGGGAGGAGGGGCACTCCCGTCCAAGGTGATGGAGGCAGCTTGGAGGTGGGAGGGAAATGAAGGGGGTGCAAACTGAAAGTGAAACAGCTCATGTTCAGGAAATACTCCCTCTGTCAAGGGTTCACAGAGCAGATCAGGGCTGCGGCCAGGACCGGGCAAAGAGGAAAATTGGGGCTGGAAACGAGAGCGAGTGTGTGGTGGTGGAGGGGTAGCTGTGTGAGGCAGGTTGGGGCTGTGAAGAAGTTCCCACTTCTGGAGACTTCCTCAGCTCACTGCGAAGAAGGAATGGGAAGGCACAGGCCATAGGTATCCAGGGAAAGTTGCCCTGGAAAGATTTCCTCTGAGATCCACAAACTGGAAAGTAAATCTTAAATCAGTGTTGAGTATATGGACTCATGGAAATTCAGATAACCATCCTGACTCCCTGACTAGCTATGTGGCCTCCGGCACTAACCTCTGTGTGCCTCACTTTTCCCACCTGTAAAATGGGTATGATAATGCTTACTGGGTTAATGTGCACTTTCGCTGTCCCACATGCCCTGGAGGGTGCTCGTACATGGTAGAAGTATACCACAGGTACTCAGGAAATATTTGTGGCTAACAGGCCTTAGTTGGAAAACAGGTGTGCTCTGACCAGCCAAAGGGAAGTGAGACCTTTGAGGACAGCTTTCATGAGTCATTGGCTTGATGGTGGCAAGCTCGTGTCAAGCGTGTGCCGGGTAGGGTGCAGGAGGGGGCTCAGAGCAGCAGAGGGTTCGGAAACCCCAGCCTCTGAAACTACTCAGGAGTGAGGCGAAACACGACTTAAGACCCACTAGGGCAATGCTGTGGCCACCCCTCCTAGGGCCCTGGATGCCGGGGTGCAGTCCTAGGTGTGAATCTTGGCCGCCTGGTTATTCTCACCCCCAGGCTCCCCTGAAGAGTTGCCAGTAAAATGCTCAATAAGTTCTGATTCCACCAGCAGACTCCATAGGGACCCAAGCTGGTGAAATAAGAGTGACTAGAGCTAGGACTGTGGCGTCCTTTGGGGAGTGGAGGCCCTGTCACTCCTGTGTGGTTGTGGGAACCACTCATCAGTGGCCCCTGCTTGCCCTCATCTCTGCTTTTTCTCACCCGTCCCCACAGGCTAACACTGCCCTCCATTGGGACCTGAAAGATGGCGTCTGGGCAATGCCCAGGCCCTCCCAGGCAGGAGTGTGAAGAGCCTGCCCCATCCTCCACTTCGGGTAAGGGTCCTTCTACCCCCTCACCCATCCCATACACTCCAGGGCTGTCTGTGAGGTTGGAGAGGACAGAAGTAGAGAGGGCTAGGCAGGACTTACAGGCAGGCTCTCCTGTCTTAGTTTACTCACCTTGGATAAAGAAAAAAATATCTCCTCACCCAATTCAGGTGGCCCATTGAGCTCGAAGCCAGAGTGAAGTCAAAGTTAAGCCCTGGGAGTGGGGATGGGTCTGGGCCTGGGAGGGTCCAGAGGCCAGAAGATGCTAGGGAGTGAGCGTGACGTGGGCACAGCGCCATCCCAGGGCAGAGGAGCGGGATGAGGTCAGGAGAAGGAAAGGACACTGGGATGTAACTGGCCTCTCCCTGGAGTAGGAGAAATAAGGAAGTTGGCTCCTCACCCAGCCAGGTCTGCTCAACAGGGAAAACTTTATGACTTTGAGGAAGAAGTAAGATGGCTGCCGTTTTTCCTCTTCCAAGGATACCATCAGGGAAGCCTGCAGCTCACAGACCATTACGGGCTGTTCCCTGGACTTTGTGTTCAATCCTAGGTCTGTCGCTATTCCCTTACGTGACTTTTATGGCCCCACACTCCCTAAGCCATAAGGGCTGGGTCCTTTGTACATGATAAAACAAACTCGGAGGCCCAAATGCCTGGGATTGTACCCTGGCTCCACTGCTCAGTCTAGCTGTATGACCTTGTACAAATCACGTAACTCTCCTGTGCCTTAGTTTCCCCATCTGTAAAGTGGGGATCACTTCACAAGGCTGTTGTGGGGATTAAACGAAAAGTGCCAGAAGACCACCCCACACAGAGTAAGCATGTGGGTGTTACATACGGACTGGAGTAGGGCCCTTCTGTACAGGGGCGAGGAAGGCTGTGGCCTTGAGGAAGAGTAACCATCCCTGAAGCTCAGGGCTACCAGGTCCAGCTGTTCCTTCCTCCCTGATTCCTGGCTTTGATCCCCAGAGGAGCAGGTAGCCCGAGACACAGAAGAGGTTTTCCGCAGCTACGTTTTTTACCGCCATCAGCAGGAGCAGGAGGCTGATGGGGCGGCTGCGCCTGCTGACCCAGAGATGGTCACCTTGTCCCTAGAACCTGCCAGGTGAGCAGCGACAACCCCCTAGGCCCACAGGGATATCTTCAGGGCAGCGGAGGCTCACACAGGGTCACCATGCAGATCTTGGGAGTTAGGTGGGGTGGGGGTGGGTCTTGTCCTTCTCTCGTTGTTGCTCCTCTTTCATCCTGGTCACCCGCCCCAATGGGAGACCTTATCCCTGGGCCCGGCCCTCGCGTCTGAGAACACTGTCAACCTCCGAAGAGGGGTGCACCAGGCTGGGGCCATCTCAGACAGAACCCCTTCGATGTGAGCCTGGGCCTCAGCCCTGACTGCTGTCTGTTTCTCACCTGCTGTGTCCTGTTCCTCCAGCACCATGGGGCAGGTGGGACGGCGGCTCGCCATCATCGGGGATGCTATTAACCAGCGCTACGACGAAGAGTTCCAGACCATGTTGCAGCGCCTGCAGCCAACGGCAGAGAACGCCTATGAGTATTTCACCAAGATCGCCTCCAGGTAGCCCAGGCCACTGCTTCTCTGCTGTGCTGTCACCACCACACTGCGCCCTGCCCATGGGATGGGAAACATGCTTCTCTGTCAGTGTCCAGAAATATGTTTGCTGTACCTGTGTCTGCTATAAATTCACATGTGGCCTTAGGGCCCTGTCTTTCTCTCCCTGGGTCCCAGACTCCTCATCTCTGGTACAAAGCTCATAGCTCTTGTGAGTTCTGGCCCTGGGCACTTGACCGTTTAGATCAGGACTGCAGAGCGGCCCGGGGTGGGGGTGTCCCCAGAATTCCCCAGCCCAGCTAGGACACAGCTGTCCTTTCAATTTGGAACCACATTTCATGCCAAAGATGGTAAGGTTGCTACCCTCTACCAGGTCCTGGAGATGGCTTCCAGATGCTGTAATCACATCAAGAGGGGCCATGCGGTGTAGTGGTTAAAGAGACCAAATGCCTGGGGCAAATCTCAGCTTTGCCACTTACTTACTTTGTGACATTTTCTAGCCATCTGTCTCCTTGTCCATAAAATAGGGAAATATGCTTAGAATGGAGTCCGCACTTACAGATGTTAGCCATCGTTACCACCTGGGGCAGGGAGGTCAGTCCCCGGGCAGATTTGAAGCCAGGGGTGAAGGCTGGAGTAGGCAATAGATTTAGAATTAGTAATCAGACCTGAAATGTCTTGCCCATGTCCTTAGAGGCCACCCTCTATCCTGCTGTGGTTCCAGGACTTGTCCTAACTTCTTCTGTCCTTTTCTCTCTGCTGTCCCTCGGGCTGCCAGGCCAGCAGCAATGCCCACAGGTAATCTCCCCGCTGCCTCCATCCGCTCTCTCTGCCCCGCGCCTTCTCTGTGCCTTTTGTGCTCGCAGCACTAGGGCCACACAGCAGCAGCAGCCTGCTTCTGTGCCCTCTGAGCTTTGTCCTTTCACAGAGACACAGGCTCTTCCCAAGTCCAGGCGAGGCTGGGACAGCCTCTGCCACCTTGATTCAGAGCTAAGCCATTTTGCTTTCCAGCCGGGAGAGGACTGGAGGGAATATGGGGTGGGAGAAGGAAAGAAGGCTGAAGGGCCTCCTGGGGGGCTTCCACTGACAGCATCTATGCTCTGCCCTCAGCCTATTTGAGAGTGGCATCAACTGGGGTCGAGTGGTGGCTCTCCTGGGCTTCGGCTACCGCCTGGCCCTACATGTTTACCAGCGCGGCCTGACTGGCTTCCTGGGCCAAGTGACCCGCTTTGTGGCCGACTTCATGCTGCATCACTGCATTGCCCGGTGGATTGCGCAGAGGGGCGGCTGGGTGAGTGCCCAGCACTAGCAGCTTCCTCCATGCTGCTGGGGCTGCCCCCTTCCCAGCCCCACCTCGGTCCCATGATGCCTATATATGCTGCCAGTCCCTCTATGACCACTGTCTTTCTCCTGGCAGGTGGCAGCCCTGAACTTGGGCAACGGCCCCATCCTTAATGTGCTGACAGTTCTGGCTGTGGTTCTGTTGGGCCAGTTTGTGGTACGAAGATTCTTCAAGTCATGACCCCTGGAGGAGCCCTTTGGGGTCCCAGCTGAGACCCCTGCCTGGACTGTAGCCAAGCCTTCTCCCCTTGCCCCCTTCCGTGCTGGGATCCCCTCCCCGCAAGAATACAGAAGCTTTAGCAAGTGGGCACTCCAGCTTTGAAGGACCCTTACCCAAGGGTCAGTCAGGTTGCAGAGGTGCCCCAACATTGCATGGTGCTAATGGGCCCATCTCTGGGCTCAGCTGTCTGCTGGGTGTTGGGGAGGTCGATAAACTTGGGAGCAAGGGGCTGGGAGCATCTTCTCTCCATTACATTTTTTTTAATGGTTTTAGCTTTTTATAATACCCTTGAGAGGACCCCGCCATTCCCACCACTATGCCCAAAGCCAGGACATCTGGGATGTGGGGGTTAGTAGGCCTACCCTGCATTCCCCAGGATTCAGTTGTTCTAGAAGGTCAGAACTTGAGAGCTGGGCCTGGAGCCCAGTCCTGGGCCTCTCTAAGCACCATATCCCAGGAACAGGACTGACTGGCGGTGGGGGACAAAGACTTGCTCAGCACCCCCTGCTCCCATTCCCCCACCCCATGTTGCCTTGGCAGTTAGATTCTCAGGGATTCTGGGTCTGGAGTGTGGGGTGAGGGTACAGACCAGAGCTGTATGAATTTATCCATCAGGTTTTCCAAACCCACCTCCTGAGGTCCTTGATTCTCTCCCTTCCCCTCACCTCTTACCACTTTCTCCCAACCCATTCCTTTCTAGTGAAGCCTGCCTGACCCCATCACTCCACATAAGGAAAGAAGCCTTGGGCGAGGCCCCCTCCTTGCACACACTATAGAGTTTAGGACTGTGGT